TTGACTCGCGGGGCGGCGAGGTGCCCGTCATGGGGAGGTCACAGCGGCGTCAGCATGAGCCTGCCCCTGACCCTGTCCAGGACACATTCAGGGGCCGCTCCCTTGTGTACTGTTACCTGGTTGTCGGCCAGAAGTCGACAACAAGGGGGTCATGATGCTGCGTTGCACTTTTTGCAACAAAGTATTTCAGGGGAGCCAATTCCAGGCGACGAGGCATTTCACGCAGACGAACTACTGCAAGGACGTCAACGACGAGGCTTTGTACGAGATCGCGCGACGGAGTCAACAGAAGTTCGAGAGCGATCAAATGGCGAGGGTTGCCAGGTACGTGGCGGAGCACGGAGTCGATGTGCCTGGCATGGGTGGTGTGAGGGGAGGAGAGGCGGGGCGGCAGCCCGTGGAGGCAGCGTCAGGAGGGGTCGGGGGAGATGGTGGAGGTGGAGACACGGAGGAGGGCGCAATCGACCTCGATCGCGAGGCGCGTGTCCTGGGTGAGCAGGGAGTCCCGGGATACGAGGACGTGCCTGAGGTTTATCCAGGCACTGGGTAGAGGATGGAGGACTTTTTTAGGCGAGCAGCCAAGGGACCTGTAGGGGAGGGTTCTTCCAAGAGGAAGGAAGGTGGAACAGATCCGGCCGCCGCCCCAACTGGGAAGAGGCATCACCAGCAGAAGGTCACTGACGTCTACGGTGGCGAGTGGGTTGCTAGCCACAAGAAGACATTCCTTCGCTGGCTCTATTCCAGCGGGGTCCCCTTCAATGCCTTCCACAACCAGGCTTGGAAGGCATACCAGCAGGTCCTTCTTGAGCAGTTTGGCAGTTCCCCGCGCGCTGTGCTCCCCAGCCACAGCGAGATTGCAAGTATGCAGGCGGTGGAGACCCACCGTGAGGAGCTGGCGGAGGAGTTGCAGGAGGTGAGGCAGCAATTCTGGATCACTGGTGCCACCCTCCTCCCCGACGGGAGGAAATCACGAGATGGGAGACAGATCGTGAATTTCCTTGCTGCCGGCTCACGAGGGGTCGTCGTCTACACGACGATCAATCGCGAGGGCGAGCCGGACGATGCAGTGCACGTCCTTCGGAGATGGGTGACCATCTTCCACGAGTTCAGTTTCGGCGGCCCGCAGCGGGTCAATGCGATATGCACAGACTCCGCATCGGCGTACGTGGGGGCTGCGATGGCATTGGCCTCGCCGGGCATCCCTCTTGCAATCAGGAGGATCACTTGGCTTCCGTGTTCCGTCCATGTCTGCAACAAATTATTGTCAGATATGGGGACGAGTTGCGACGCGTTTGTGGACGCGATTACACGCGCTCGTGTTCTGGTGGTGTTTTTCAAAACCCACCAGGCCGCCCTTTATTTCTTTAGGAAGCGCAGCCCCAACAAGGGGCTTGTGCTTTCTTGCGAGACGCGGTTCACGTCTGTTTATTCTATGTTGGAGAGACTGTTGGCCCTGCAGGACGCTCTGCAGGTGATGATGCGAGGGGATGAGGGGCGGGAGTTTGCTTCTATATCGTGGTCCGCCGATGTGTGCGACATGGCGCGTTGGGTGCGCCGGCAGATCAGATGGGAGCCTTGGTGGCACACGATGGCCACCATAGTCCACATCATGCAGCCCGTCATGGAGCTGCTTAGGCGGATGGATCGTGGGGGGCAGTACATGTCCCTCATGATCGAGTGGACACAGAATCTTGTCCGCCGTGTCACTAATGCATGCGCTCCTTTGGGGAGGGTTTTCGCTGACCGCATCATCAGGCGTGTGCAGGCTCGCACACAGCACATGCTGGAGCCTGCTCACTGCGCGGGGTTCTTACTGAACCCCCACAGGCGATATGTTGAGTACTTTTCGGGCGAGGTGAGGGATTACCCTCGTTGGCTTGTAAGGCAAGCCAAGAGGTACATTTTGACGCAGACGGGTTACGAGGAGGATGGTGTGGAGTACATCATTGCATGTCGGCAGTTTGAGGACTTCCACATGCAGCACGACACATTTGGGGATTGGGGAGGGGGGGAGGGGCGTGCTAGTGGGCGTGCTTGCAGCAGCGACAGGGAGACGATTGAGTGCGGGTCCTGGTGGTCTCAGTACGGGTCTGGCACACCTGAGTTGCAGCGCTGCGCTCTTCGTGTGATGCACATGTGGTCTTGCGCCTCTCCAGCGGAGAGGAACTGGGCAGTCCACGAGGGTATTCACACGAAGAAGCGCAACCAGTTGGCCTTTGAGAAGGTCGTTCAGCTCGTTGAGATTACCGCGAATGTGCGGTGGTCGGAGTATCGGAGGGCTGGGTGTGGTTATGTGCTGCCATGGCAGCGGGACGAGGGCATGCTAGACTGCCAGGCCGGACTGGAGTTGGAGCCAGTGCGCACGGGCACGCGCAGGGGGATGACGCCGGAGGAGATTGCCCGTCAGGTTGCGCTTATCACCCGGGATCCCATCGGGGCCTCCGCACCACCCGCCGCTGAGGACGTATTAGGTAGACGTGCTTCCATTTTCCGTCCTTACCCCAGGGAGGATGATTCCGACGAGGAGCCGGTACCCGAGGCAGCGGACCACCCCGCGCTCCGCATTCCCCATGAGATCGACGAGATGCACCTGGACCTCGAGGAGGACACCAGGGCGCATACTGCACGACGGGCGGCTGACAGGGCAGAGAGGGAGATGATGGGGGGAGAGAAGGAGTTGTGGGGACCGTTCGGGGAGGTCGCTTCGACGGGCGGCACAGGAGTGCAGGCGACGAGTCCCACTCCGACGAGGCAGGAGTCGTCCATACCGCCACCTTCTACTCCGAGTCCTGCACTGCCATCGCCCGTCGTGCCATATGAGCCGACCATGGCAGCAGAGGACACGGAGGAGTTGGCGTCCTTTTTGCCTCAACGCGGACTACTCCATAGAGGCGGGGCAGTCCGACAGCTGAGGTTACGATCACCTTCTCCGGGGGTCTTGCAGGAGGAGGGGGGACCGTCGGCAGCAGCAGTGGAGGGGGAGATGGCAGTGGAGGGGGGATTGGCGGACACGACGATTGCAGGTGTGGTGGACCGGATAGCTGTAGTAGCAGCGGTTTCATTGCTAGAGGAGATGGCAGCTTCAGTGTTGGCGGAGGAGGCACCAGCGCTAGGGGGAGCAGATGCAGTGGAGAGGCAGGCAGGAGCAGCTGGAGGAGCAGTGGGAGGAGCAGCTGGAGGAGCAGCTGGTGGAGCAGCTCCATTGGATGGGCTTGTGGCTGCAGCAGCAGGAGCAGCGAGACGAGGGTCAGATGCAGTGGGGGGGGGAATGCCAGGAGCAGTGGAGGAGGAGATAGGGGCACAGGCGGAGGTGTCGCGTGGGGGCGGCGGCGAGCGCCTCATGCACCAGTTCCTCACGGAGCAGTACGATCCGGTCATGGCGGGTATAACCCCAGGTGTGGCGAGGGGCTTGGGGATGTCGGATTCACAGATGGGGAGCCGCCTGGACTTAGATTTGTCGATGGGCCTTCCACCTAGTTGCGGCAGGGCGACATCGACGGATCGCGCTCCATCGAGGGACGACGCGGCTGGAGAGAGCCTCACGCAGCCCCAGAGAGTGACGACGACTGCGTTTCCGGATGCGGCACGCGACATCCTAGAGTGAAAGAGGGATCGACAATTGACATCGACTAACCCGCGTGCTCAGGCATTCGCATGGGCGTTGGAG